AACAGTAATAATAATATACATTACACTATATTATTATATTATTATGTGTATACAGTAAGTTAGGCGCGTATGAACGACGACGACGACGACGATGATGACGAGAAGACCACCGCAGCCGCCGCTCCTTTTCCGTCGTGTCTTGGTCGATGACGAAAATGTAGCAATGCACATATCCGTCTCTCTTCCTCCTACCCACCTACGCCACCCACCCAACTCCTCGTCCGCCGATACGATGCCAGTGCTACAGTGGTTGAAGCGTTAAGCGATTATAAAGAGCGCGCGCGCACCAAGGTTCGGTCGGCCGAGAATAATCGTCGTATAGCCGTGACTTTGTATCCGTAAGCATCGTATCGTCATAATAATTATATATTATAATACCATATACATCGTGCGATAAAGATAATAAACTCATACTATGTGAAGTTTTTTCGCACATAGTAGTAATCCCGTTGGCGTTTGTGTAAGTAGTGGGAGGGGGTGGGGGAGGATTTAAGAACCCAGTCATTAATATTAAATATGATGACGCGACAATGATTCCTTATCAATATTTAATAACGTTTACCTACATCTGATTTCTGAGGTACTGTTTGTTTTTCAAATTTCTTAATTTTTTTTCGTTTACATTTGGCTTTCTATAGATTTTTTTCATAGTGATTAACCTATAAAAACTAAATTGCAAACTATTTTAACAATCCAAAACCCACATTATCCATTCCTATAATCGCCCATAAATAAAACAGCTATCACAAAAATACGCAGTTACATTGTGTATACATATTTCAATAACTATACCTATGGCAATTAATTATATTGATAGTTGAAAATTACTTTAAGAAATATGTTGGTAGATGTGGGGGGCATAACTTTGGTCATTTTCTCATGATTGTATCGCATCCAACTACAAGAAAATCGTTTTTATGCCCCTGGGGTCCGTGGGATCCGCATGTATACTATAGCTGCTGCTATGTGGTTCGACAGAGAGGTGTGTACCTTGGTGTGTATTATTGTCCCGGCTGCCAGCCACGAGTGGTGGAAACAAAACCGTACTCAACCGTCGATCTGAAACTGTCTAGTTTTTTAGGTGGTCAAGTTCGCAAAAATAAAACTAAAATTAAATTATATCATCACACGAATTCTTCCGTTCGTGTGCATATCAGTAAAGTGCAACGCAAACGCATTTTTGAACATAAACTATTTCGTAAATATATTGTCACAGCAACTAGTTGTAGTATATTATAATATCATAATAATTTAATAATATCGTGTTTAAAACGCATATTATGTAATGTCATGCGTCCCGAGAAGGTGTTACTCGTGAGGCAGTTATTGTGTTTCGCGTTGGCTTTTTTCCCCGTCCGCTACAGTGTATTATACTATTTTAATGTCGATTGATAATATTACTATTATTGCACGTGATAAACTGCAGCGGTGACACCGACGACGTCGAGTTTAATAAAATATTATGTACGGTAGGAAACGTTACGAATATTGTTTGTCAAGGTCGTCGTCGCATCGCCATATAAATATATTATACGTATAATATTATGTTATTACATATTGTTATTATATTATATATATACGTCGTGATATATAGGTACGACCGCCACTCTGCTCGTCGGTAGATTCTTATGGCACGGACGAGCTCGAAATATTTATCTTCGCCGCGGCCAAGTGTGCCGCCGCCGCCATCGTTTGGCAAGAACTGTGCCGCGGAGACGTCCGCTCTCGTCGCCGTTTTATACCAATCGCCAGGTAGACGACGATCTATTTCCGAGCGTTCTATGGTGGGTGGGACGGGTGAGGCACACGAGACCTAATACGCTCCGCTGCAGGGTGTATTGTTTCGGTCGTAGCTATTTTCCTCTAAAAAGGAAATGGGTATGTACGTATTTATCAAAATAGGATCCTGTCACCTTCTCGTTGATTTGAATATAATATAGGTACCCATCATATTCATATTACGGCCGAGCATATTATTGTTCTACAATATTTTTATGGAATAAATTAAAATTAGATATCGCTGTGATAAAAATTAATATTTTTTAACAATCAAACAAATTAAAAAATATTCAATTCAATTACAAATTATAGAACAATTTCTTTCATTTTTTCCGCTTGACGAAATATTTCAACTCTAGAAATGAACAAATATGACTTTTTTCTGAACAAATAATATAATATATTCTTAAATAAGAAATACAGGCTGAATATTCTTTAATCTTTAAAATACGCTGTAATAATATTGCTACATACATTTTTTTGTACGAATTCTTTACTGAATAAGTTGTCCTGATTATGACCCATGTTGAGCTATATAAAGCCAAAAAGTATATGTGAAAACCTAAAAATTCATTTTCTAGTTATTATATCCTTAAATATATTTTTATGCGCACGAATACAAACCAAATAATTAAAAGTACAAATACTCCACGGGTGTAGTACTTAGATCTGGCTATAAAACAACTTTTTTCAATATACTGCCATACATAATATTTATTTTATTTTAAAGAACAGTTGGAACAGTTTTTTTTGAAACTGGATTTTTAGAAAAAAATACTGGTGGATTATACTTTTATGTAATAAAGTTGATACAAATATATTATTATACCAAAACGTATTAAGAGCTACCAGATTCTCGACTGTTATTAGTACCTCATTGTATACTACAGTACACAATAGTTAAGGCCGTTTAAAATATCTGGTATAATACTATATAATGCTAGAACTTTTATAACTTATATAAGTATAATGAATATAATATTACGAAATTGAATGTACATATGTACATGTTCATGATATGAATTTAGTCCAAAAAAAATACGACGCGTAGAAAAATGAAAAGTACTTTTCTTTTTTTATCTCATTTTCGGAGGAAAATATATAGTGTCGTCTCGCCCATCGTTTCAATGTTGTGGCACTCGCACGTCCTCGGGGCCGCCATGTCGGGTAATAATAATAATATACAGAGCGGCTCGCGGTCTATACAGATGTTATTCTGCACGTCTGTTTGATTTCCGAACGCGTTGTGCCCACAGCAGTTTCCAACGCGTGTTTCGCGATTGCTAGCGAATTAAACCGCGATGATAATATAATATTATATAATACTGCATATATTTCGACACGGCCGACGCCACAAAGTGCTCGTGGTTCACTCGAAGTTCAAGGGGGAAACAACATTCGAGTTATTAACGATTTCGTGATATCGAAAACCAATTAAACTTAATGGTTTGAATTTTTTTCACTCGAAATGTCGACTTCTATCGAGATATCAAAGTTCGAGTTACCGACCGACCGTCGACTGCTTAATATAATAATATCATATACGCAGCACAAGGTATACTTTGCTCGTATATTAATAAAGTATCGATCGTTGCGGTTTTTATGTTGTTAACCTATCTCTGGTATATACCTACGCGATCCGTATCACGTTTCTTCCATACCATCGCTCAAACCGCTTGAACGTCGTCGTCGGTCGCGAAAAATATAAAACTCTAGGGCCGTATTGAAGAATTTCCTCGCGGGCCCTCTCTCTCCCTCTCTCACTCTCTATCTCTCTCTCTCTCTCTCTCTCTCTCTCTCTCTCTCTCTCTCTCTTTCATAACACGAGTATAATGGCATATAGAATTTCTTCCACGGCGGCGGCTCGACTATTGCGCTTCCAAACGATTCGAACGTACTTCATGCGCGTGGCCAAACTCCGAGCTCGCGATGCAGCAGTGCAAGAGTGCAACGCTGCACCGGAATCTTATCGCCGCATAAGACTCGTGATTTATGATGGTAGTAAAATATGTACGCCATAATCATTTATTATTATTATTACTATTGCCGGAGCAGCGCGACAGTGGAGCTTTTTGACGGTACAATATAATGTGTAACTTGGCGCAAGGTCGACGACGACGGATTCGCCGATAACGATTATGGCAGTGACGACGAAGATCGAGACGACCTCGCGATGACTGTATACGATGACGACGACGACGATCGACAACGCAAGACCTCTGCACCGCTGCCCATAAATATTTAACGACGACGTGTACATAATACGCGTTCGCAAACCCGTAACGACGACGACTACGGCGTGCGCGCGTGTGACCTAAATAATATTATATTATCGTCGTCGTCGTCGTCGTCGTCGTCGTATTCGCGCCGCCGCCGCCGCCGCCGCCGGTGACATGCGGCGGGGTGACGAGGTACCTCCGCGCCGCGCTCGCCGGACGACGACGAGACAAAAGGCGCGCTCGACCCTGAACCGCCGCAGTGCCGGGATTATGGGCCGAGCGCGCGAAACCACTGCTGCACGGCGGCGGCGGCAGCTCGCGTATACGCACGGACGCTCCGCTTGATTTTCCCCCCACGTCGTGTCCGATTTGCTCCGTCAGATATAAAATAATATCGTACACAGTGAATTTGTGCTCGCACGCACTGAACACGTGTCGCCGCGGAAACCGATGGTCGCGGCCATCGTATTACAATAATGTACGTATTATTGTTGTGGAAAAAACCGAAAACGCCCGTCGCGCAAAGATTTTGTAATCCGGCCGTGTGTGGCGGTCGGCGGCTGTCCGGTCGGTGGAAAGCTGCGCCGCGCGGACGTCGGCGGCTCTCGCGCGCGAAGTGGAACGAGGCCGGTACTGGCCGACTCTTCGGCTCCAGATCATGTTTCGATACGTCGACCGCGACTGACGTGCCCAAAAAGCCGCGTCAACCGCGAACGCCGTCTCCACGAGTCCGTCTTGTCGACCTTCTGCGGGTTTCCCACACCCGGCCGCCGTGGCGTATGACGGAGCGCGGCCACCGGCTGTAAGCAACCGGGTTCAGACACCGCGGACGCCACTCGAAGCACGGCCACATTTCGCCTACACGTCACGGTGTCTGCGGACGTCGTCGGTGCAGTGTCTTCGGCGGCCGAGGGCCATCACAGCCTGCTGCGCCGTCGTCCGCGGCGCGTATACCACCGTCGGCGAGGTCAAAGACCTATATTTAGTCGCCGCCGCCGATGACCGTTTCCGTCCGCTCCAGAAAACCCGTTCGCTCGCCTCTTCCTTTCTCGCGCGCATACCACGTGCGTCGTCCACGACACCACCGCTGCTGCGTTCTTCTTCCGGTTCTCCTTGCCGCGGAGCAGTACCTAACTACAATAGCATACGGTTAATTACTTCTCGTGCTGTCTTCTTTTTCGCGCCAACACCGGATCATCGCCGCCGTCAAATCGTGACCTGTAAACGTCATTCGGCGGTTACACGTGCATATTATCACAACATTAGACCTCTAGGTATAATATAATATTATATTGTAACGCGTTATAACTCTATATATCTACAATATTATTATGATGAGTGACCACATTGTTTAGGTAGTATAACTCGAAAATATCTCAAAGCGTAACCGCGTATTTGGTTACAGCACTTATATCATAATATCATATTAATATTATACCGCCGTCTAAATCAATTACGCGTAGGGCGTAAGTGTGTTGGGTCGGTGGAGGTAACGATTACGTACGATACATAGTTAATTGTTATATTATTATTACTATACTACATACATACATAAATACACAACTACATAGTACATGCATACACACACACACACACACACACAGAAGGTGAGGTATACGAGTGCGTGTAAATAATACGACATAACGACATCGTTTTATTAGCTCGCACGTGTGTACAGTACGGCTCCGAATGTTGGCGGTAATTTCGTTACAACGATAGTATGTTTAAGTAGTGTACGTACACTGCTAGTTACTACTTATTACTACGCACTATCTATGCACGAACGCCGCTCGACATATATTTTTCTATTTAATAATCGTTCGTATATTATATTACATTATTATTATTATTATTATTATTATTATTATTATTATTATGTCTTCGCACGTCGGTGTGTGTGTGTACATATATATATAATTATATAACAGTGTTTGACTGTCTAATCGTTATCGTCGAGTTTGTGTGTGTGTGTGTGTGTGTGTGTGTGTCGTAGGTACTGTCGTCGTATGTGTGTTACTCGACGTTATAATATTATAACATGGACACTGTAGCAGCTCTGCATTCTGCTCTTTTTTACTAATCTTATAGGCCGCGACTATTATAACGGTGAGGGGGTTACCTCCGATGATGATCGTAACGAAATAAATTTGACTCGACGAACGGGTTGTGTGCGGGAGAGGGAAAAGGGGAAAGGGGCTCATGGTTGGTCTCGTATAATATATTGTTGTTGTTGTTTATTATAATAACAATAATAATAATAATAATAATATATGTTGGTGTATCTATATAGGTGTATAATATATGCATAATAGTATACGCCGTTACCAGGGCGGTTGGGGTCCTGGCTGTACACACATTATACACACGCGCCGCCAGTGCGTATGGTAGTATTTCGTTTTATTGAATTAAAAATATACTCGACTTGTTTAATACAATATATAATATGTTGTACTCGGACGGGGCCTTGACTTTTTATTATACTTAAATCCGACCAATGGCCGCGCGTAGAAGTCGTCTGTTTTTATTTACTGCACAAGAGTATGTCGAATACCGCCGTTACCAACCCCACCTCCTCCTCCACCACCGCCGCCGTCACTGCTATACAACCATACAACTATAACCTATAGGTAGTATAATATGTAATTGGTTATTAGAAATGTAATATAGCCTGTATAGAATGTATACAACCGACACGCAGAGAACGACGCTATGTGGATCGATATCGTCGTCGTAAGTGATGCGCGCTGTTTCGTCACCGCGCGGTCGAGTGTTGATCGTCCGTCATCTGGCCATCCTCGACCGCCGCACATTGTTTTTTCGGCGAGAGAAAGTCGGCGTCCAGTCTCGCATATTATACACATATGTACGACGTGCTCGCTGCAGGATTTCGTTTCGAAAAGCACATAATACGCTTTAAAACAAAAAATAAAAAAATACCTTAGCCGCCGGCACCTCGACGCTGTCCATACACACGATATTCCCGTATATATACGTCATGACTTACCCGAGTGTATTGTAATGCCTTCCTATGCATGTAGTTAGGTAAATAGCAATATTGTTTGTAGTGTTGCGAAACAGTGCCACTGCCGGTGCGGTAGAATATTCATGCGGCCGGTTTAGTGCATTGTCACACTGTTGTTCGTTACCGTACCCCGAATTCGGACGTTTCCGTTTTTCTGAACGGTCGGTGTTTTAACGCCAACGCCCGACGAAATCGCTTCTCTCTTTTTTCGTTCTTATGGATACTACTTATACCGTCGAAACGATATACCTATTTCGTTTTTCGCGCAAACCATTCGTCTCGTATAATTAAAACATAAATAACCGTCAGTCCGCGAACTGTCGTTGTAATAATAATAATAATAATAATCACAGCCGCGTTGTAGCCAAATTTATTATATTACCTATGTACATTGTTGTACACACTGACGACGACGACGACGACGATGACGACGATGACAAATAACTCACGTTATAATAATAAAATAATATTATGTGCATCGCGACGATGATTTTTTTTTATTAATTACGCGTTCACGTTTAACTTTCTCTGCTTCTGCAAGTGAGACGCGCCACGTGCGATTAACTTTCGACCGTAAGCGCGCAGCTTGTGGCTATTATTATCGGTGGGTTTTCGACCACCGGGATTTGCGGCGAGGCTTCTTCCAGAAATCGTTTTACAGCCCGAGAAAAACGTCGTAAATTGATAGTATTAAGACTTATGAGAACGCCGTCGTACCCGCGCATGTGTTTTCTCCGTCTTACAAAATATGTACGACATTGCAAAAACTGTTTTGCTTGGGACTGTGTGGAATGCTCTCTCTCTGTATTTATAGTAGAATGACCAAAATTTCACAGCGTATTGAGAAGAACTTTATCCGCGACGAAAAGAATTTTTATTATTTAGATAGCAAAAATACAATCAAAGTTTCCAGTTGCAAACATTAGGTTTTTTAATTTAATTATTAAAAATGATTGGTTAGTGCGTTATGAAAAAAATTAAAAATTCGCGTCACAAATGAAATTCTTTCCTGAACGTTGAAGAAATTTGGTAATTCTACTTTAAATACATGTTGAGTAAAATCGTCCAACTCAAAACAGTTTTTGTTGTGTTGTACATTTGTGAGATGGAGATAACGTCTTCGTAATAGGGGGACCTGCAGGTGTTATTACACTGTTTCTGTATTCCGTGTAAACTGTGTGTGGTTTTCACAGTACCTACCTATACCATATAGTTGAAAATATTCCACTTCTCTGTGAGTCAGTTAGTTATATTTAAATGTGACTAGTAAAGTCGTTTAAGAGGACGCCGCATCCGCAAGTGTTGTCTCCGTCTTACAAACGTACAACATAGCAAAAACTGTTTCGCGCGAAATAGAACCACTCTAGCTTTAGTCCAAGCTAAGCAACCAAATTTTCATACTAATAAGAGGAGAACATTTACTGTGAAACATCGTTTTTATTTTTTCGATATCACAATTACAAAAGAAGTTATTTAAGTTTGAAATAATGAGTTTTTGAACAATACTAACTTTTTTTGAACTTGTGATACCGTAATAATAAAGACGATGTTGCACAGTAAATGTTCTCTTGTTTATATTGTGAAAATTGGGTTGCTTAGCTTGGACTACACCTTGAGTTCTATTTCGAGCAAAACAGTTTTTGCTATATTGTACGTTTGGTAAGACGGAGACAACACATGCGGGTGGGGCGTACTCTTAATTATTATAGTATGATGATCTCAGATCTCATTATACTAGTACATGATTATGATAATATTATGAGATTATGATATTATTTGATTTGGTGAATAATAAGACAATTATGTACACGGACCACATAGTTACGTGGAATACGGACCGCAGTGTTTCGTGGAACACACGGTGTCAGTGTAATACTTTATTATTAGTAGGCCGCGATCGTCGTTTCTTCTCGCTCCGACCAGAATGACGTGTAAATCGCAACCGCCTCGATCACGAAACCGCTGTCGACGCGCGAACAAATATTATAACATAATATATAGCTCAATGCTCCTTACTTTAGGGTATGCTCATTGCTCATAATGACATTTGATATGGCCCAATGGCTGCCCGACGTGACCTTTTCGGATTTTTCTTATCCTGAATGCGGCGCGTACATCAAGTGGGTAGAAAATGATACTGTCTTCACTCTTCAGCGATTAATAAAATAATTAAGATGACGTCATACCCACATGTGTTGCTCCGTTTTACACGTACGACGTAGCAAATTTTCGTTCACCACTTTCAATGGTGTGTTGTTTTGACATTAGAGTGAATTTATTTACTATCAAGCCTCTAAGTAAGAATATTATCTGTTTTTACTATATTTTAATTTTTAAGTGAGTCAGGAGTAATATATTAAGATATGAAAATGCTCATAACTGACACCACATGCGAGTGCGAAGTCTTCTTAAGTATCTAAAAAATGTAATACATACAGCAAAATGTGAACTATACCTTAGTTTAAGCAATGTTAGTTAAGCATATGATAAGCGTATCGAATTTAATAATATAACGATTTGTTACTGTCAGACCAATGGCCACGGCTGCAGATGTTTTTATTTCTTAAATAATAAAAAAATAAAAAATAAAAATACATATTATATAAAGTATATTCCAGTGAACTAATAATATGGTAATATATTATAATTTCTTACATTCTATATCTGTTTGAATGATGGTTTCTAGTCCATTAAAGATAAGAAAACAGATGAAATGCAAAATTGCGAAGCTAGTGGAACGCTGCTATATCTTTACTATAATAGGCACAAACAAAATTTAAAAAGTCATAAAAATCAACTTATTGATAAGACACAATAAATTCATTTTTTATTCGTTGTACATAATTTTTTTGCCTTTTACATTTCACTAGGTATATTGTGTATCATAAGACATATATATATTATTTTAAGTATATCGCGGTGACATTTGTTTTGCGATAGCGCAATGTCTAAACGATTTGTTTTTGATATGACTATATTATAATAATTAGTAATTCAATGCACATATAATTAAATGGTTTTGAGACTTCAATATCGTACCTATACTCATACATTAATTAGTCACTAAGATTAGATACAGCTATTATTGTATTCAATAATAAGGTAGTTTTTCAATGCTGCAATAATAGCTGCTTACAGTTATAATCTAGTAAAATGTAATATTTATTACTTGTTATTTTTATGAAAATAACTATGTAGCTACGTGCCCATTGACTTTCAACTTTCAATACTTTTCTACATAAAAAAAAATCTTCACCCATAGGTAGGTACCCAGGTACACCAAAGCACTATGCGTAATCGGTGATACCAACATTCAATATCTAACCTACCTATATTTTCATCTTACATTCTTACAAGATTTTAGCCGAAAACCAGGTGACTACACACTGTGGTTTGTCGTGTTTCGTGCATAAGTAAAAAATGTTGGTTACCTACACAAGTTATTTGTTATATTAAATTCTACTACACAACACGGTTTAATGGAAACCCGGTCTTAGGCATAACTAGACACTCCGAATTAGAACTAGCTGTAACCTCGATTGAGGCTATTGTCGACGAGCTACTGAGGTTCCTGCAGATGCTATTAATATCATATAAATGTGAAATAAGTAGTTACTAAATTGCTGTACTCAAATATTTTATAGTTTCGGTGACATATCGCGTCACAAGTAATTTATCATTATATTCATCTATACATTTTATTTTATTCATTCAAAATGTTGCATTTACGGATCATCTATAAATAACAATAAGGGATGAAGCCGGCCCCCGCCCAGAATGTTGATCCTATATAGTCTGCTTTTGTTCGACTCGTCATGTTATTACTACCATGATATGTGGGTTATTTATGATGTGTTTTAATATACTGTATTTATTTTACTTACACAATTGCGCTGACGTCGATAATATTATATGTATCGACATAATTCCTGCGCACTCGCCATATCGCCAGTGTTCGCCATCACACGCTTGATCCCAATTCGAAAAATTGACTCAGGAAAATCGTATAATGGTACTTATGAAAATAATTTTGCCCGAGAAAATTGTATTTAATGTTGTAAACCATAATACAATGCGCCTGTATAGGTATAGTGTATAATATTGGCAGGTAGCTGACGACTTTCGGACGTCGAAACATTGCGGGGCGCGTGTCCCGCCCGCTGCAGACGCGTTACAATATTAATACCTCAACATATACCAACTATATCGATTTAACTGGTTACGCTTCGTATATGGTAACGGTGGCGTGAAAAAAAGAAAATACAATTAATAGAATCGCGATCGTTTCGAAAAGCACCGCCGGAATCGAACGATAAAAGTCGATATTGGCTCGGATTCCCGGCGCAACAGTATATATCCATCTACCCACGTCCTACCCATACTGCTGCCGTGTCCTTCCCGCCCTATATATATATATATATATACAGTAGTGTATTCATAATAAATGGACCGCGAAGGCTGCGCAGGAGGTTCAGGACACGACAATTATCCAATTGCGACGATAACGGCCACGGCGAGTTTCCGTCATCGTCGCGCGCGTCATCTCATCCGCGAGATTCATCGGCAGATATTTCCGTCGGAAACTCATCGCGTCGCACTCGCATGCGGTATTCGCACCAATAATAACGATAACGATATCATGTCCTACATACATACATACGTACATGATATATATATAAAATATTATGTGCACTTATATATTATATAGTTGGCCGTACACCGTCGTGTGTTGCTGCCGGTGCTGCGAGTGTATAATATACGCCAAGGTTTTACGCGTAGCCGCGCCTCCTTGACATCGATATTTGCGTCGCAGTCGTCGGGGGACTTTCGCGCGAGCGGCGTTGCACCAACAGCAGCGGGCAGTCTTCTTCGCCGCGTTATTTATAGCACTCGCGGCGGCGGCGCACAGCTTCTGCCGGCGGCGCGTCGTATATAAAATACTACTACATGTCCGCGTATTATACGATTTCGTTTCATGTTTTCCGGCGATCAGCGGCGGTTCGTTGATAATAATAAATAATAAATGATCATTTTACTTGCAGTAAAGAGTCCGGACGACAGTCGTATAATATTATATTGTTGTCATAACACCCTGTGTATATTGTAATAATAACTCAAAACACTGCATTATGGCGTGCACAGGACGTCAGCCATGTGTACGCTCGACTCTTATATGGGTAATAATAACCGCCACAGCTCTGCCGCTATACATAGTACGTACTGTCGCCATATAGCTAAGGTCGTATCCGCGGACGACCTACACATACCGCGTATATATGCGTCGTGTAAGCTCCAGCGGAATTCTTAGTTTTTTACGCCCGATGACTGCCTATAATGTATATTTATTAATAGAATAATATATGATAACGCGGCTGGTTGACTGTCGAGTATTAATTATTGTGTAATACCATTGAGTATATACAATATAATATTACACTCAATAGTCAATGGTATTACCATGTCCACTGCACAACGATTCGGTCAACTGATAAATGACGTTTTTTTTTTTTGATTCACAGGTACTTTAAAATGGCGAAGACGGCCTCGCCGTCTCCGTCTACCAGTTCTTCGGGCAACCTGCACCGCCAAAAGCCCGGGCCGAAGCCGAAATATACTCAACAGCAATCGTCTTCGTCCGCACCGTCCTCGTCGACGTTGCCGGACTCGAAACTCCCGCTGCCCCAGTGTAAGGTCAAGCGGAACTACGCTTGCGGCAAGTGCGCGTACTACACCCAGAACCCACGCAGTTTCCTGCACCACCAGAAGAACGTACACGCCGAACGACTAAAAGTGTACGAGTGTTCACATTGTCTGTACGCGTCGAAGCACAGCCAGAAGCTGCAGCGACACGTGCATATGGTGCACCAAGTGGATAGCAAAGGTAGCAAGAAAAACCACGGATTCGACGAGTCCGGAAAGCCGCTTCTAGTGCCGCCTGTCCGTATCCGGGTGCAGCGCTTCGAAAAGTTTACGGACCAGCATCTGGCCAAGCTGGTGATTGTAGAAGACGTGGACGTCGAGGAGGTGCTCCCGGTCAGTGCTGACGAAGAGGGCGAGGGCGAGGGTGAGGGCGAAGATGCGAAAGAAATTGAAGCTGAAGCCGAAGAGGAAGCTGAAGTCGAGGCGGAAGCCGGAGTCGAAGAAGAAGAAGAGCTGGATGATGAAGAGGCCGGCGAAGAAGAAGAACTAGAGGACGAAGACGAGGACGAAGAAGATGAACAAGGCGAAGATGACGACGGTTCAGTGGACGCGGACGACCGTGTGCCCGTGACCTCACTGCTGCAAACAGCACCGCCAACATCGCCATCCCCAACGCCATCCCCAGCTCCACTACCGCCGCCCAAGAAACTACAGCAAAAGAAGTACAAAGTGGAAAAGCCGTCCGTGACCTTCATCCGGTGTTCCGTTTGCCCGTTCGGCAGCCATAGCCGGACGCTGGTCAACAGGCACGAGAAGTCGGCGCACTTGAAGAAGAAATTCTTCCGGTGTATGAAGTGCAACTACGTGACTCACATGCGGGCTCGGTACACCAAGCACGTCAAGTACCACACGATGCCGATGATCAAGTGCGACGACTGCGACTTCCGGACGCCGTACAAGTGGAATCTGGACCGGCACAACCGCAACCACAGCACCATAGCGCCAGGCACGTACAAGTGCTCGCACTGTTCTTTCTCTGCCGATATCAAGCAGAGTCTCACCGTACACGAGACGAATCACCACGTGCCACCGGTGGGCGGCGTGTTCCCCTCAAACGGCTCCAACCGCCGCCGGTACCGGGTGGGCGCGTCCGACGCTCCTGGCTCAGCGGTCGACGGCACAGAGGTATGTATATACATTTCATAATATTATGCAGAATAACGGAGAAATGCAATATATGTCGGGGAGTAATTAAATGTGATAATATAAGTTTAATAATAATACACTTTATAGTACTGCAGCAGGTAGTAGCGACAGTGTCCATTACTTTTTCATAAAATATTATTACTGTTAACGCGTTCGGAACACGTTTTACAGTTTGAAGCTTAGATCAGGCCCCAAAGTCTCTATTTCGCCTGCATCAGAGATGAAATAAATTGGACGGGATGTAGGGCAAACTGTCACGGTATTTGATATAGTGGAAATTAATTTTTCTAATCATTATTTTTATTTCTTTACATTTCACAAGAAATATAATTGAGAATTAAAATAAGAGCTTAAGTAGGAATTATTATTATTTATTTAATTTTTAATTAACCGCACTATGTCGTAAATGATATGCTATCATACTAATCACAAATAAGCTTTTGTGCATGTGCAGTGCTAAAAGATGCTTCAAGAAAATGAATAATAACTCACCAGTGTTTATGATCTTAGGCTCGAAATTGCTGCAATTTCCGCTGAAATATTCATAGTACCAACATTAGCGCCTCTATTTTATTTTACCCCCATAGATGTTTGCCAAAGTTAATATCCATATACTCCTAGTCCTTATAGTTGGCTACTTACTATTCATACAGTGCTCTCACGCGTATTAAGTTCTCGCCCCGACGAAAAAATCTTTGTCAGACAGGTAACGATAACGCCACTATTGAAATAATATATAAAAGTACGAAGGTGAAGGATAAAACAATGTTTTTGAGCACCGTATGTGATCCATCAATTGAACTATTGAAGGCAATTTGTATTAATAAAATACGTTACTATTCTACTCGTGTATATAGAATATAGATAGTATCGTTCATTTTAATTCTAAATAAATCTGTTACATAATGTACGATTTTCCAATAGTTATTATGACGAATTACACGCCAGTATAGACTATAGGTGTGTTAATGTAATATCATATACCTACGTGCAGAATCATTTAAATGTTATACATAACTTAAGGATTTCTTATACAATGCATACGATGTGTCAAATTAATTCAATTACAATTATTAATCACTAATAAATAAATATAAAATATTGAAGTATTGAATGTTGTTGGAAGCCATAATATGTAGTAGTATACTTCTCCAATTCATTATAACAAGGAGATTACATTGGTGCCTAATGAGTATTTTTAAGAATAAAGATTTTATACAGAATAGTTATATACATTTTGCATTTATTATCAGATACATCCTGACGTAAAAAATATCTTAAAAAATCGAAATTTTCATTAGGTAGACATTTTATTAAGCATTTAATTAAACAAAATTAATTTAAGGAACCTATACGCTATAAACTTTATGAAAATATTCTTTAGGCTTTAACTAATAAATTTGGTTTATTGTGAGTTTTAGTTGAAGTTAATTACTTTGATAAAGGCTTTTGAGTCTTTCTTTGATAATAATGTATGTAATAAAATAAAGATCATAGTTATGGCAAACTAATTTAATAGACTCAAAGAAGATAACTAAATTACTTGCGGAATGATGTGCATTTCTCTCGATTATGAATTGACTCGCAGTTGAGAGTGTATAATATGCATTAGCAGTTTTCAGTTCTAAATAGTACCATTTATGGTATTAATATTTATTATTTTAGGTTTACCTAGGTACAAATTGATCTCACGACTGTGTATAATATTTGTTTATATCCTAAAATTAGTTTTTTTTTGTAATATGTGTGTGCACCTAATTTTAATTTTATGTTTCATTGGTTAAACATTTACGAATTTAGTTAATCAAACTCCAGATATTTTTTTTCTTTAAGGCCTGTTTCATAGCCTTGCGTTTTTTTATTTAGATTTTAAAGTTTGTGTTCAGGGACCACTGAAGAAGCTATATCGTGTACGAACTTAATAATGTAATTCTAAAATCGCTCGTAATGATACGTACGCGTATTGTACACGCGACTGCAGTGAAACGGGAAAGGGAATGCGTTGTCTCCATATTACAAACATACAACATTGCATATTTTTGTGTTCAGCTGTTTAAATTGTGTATAATAACCTAATAATAGAACGAATAAAATTGACCTATTATCAAACTTAAGGGTAAGGGCGTAATCCGTGTTTCATCATGTTATGTTATTTTACAATATTTTAATTTTCAAGTAAGTTACGAGTATGTAAAATAGTTCAATTCAAAAATTCGTAAAAAATCAATGAGAAAACGTAGAATATATTCCTTATAAGTTTGTTAATAGGTAAATCCACTCTAAAATAATAGTCTTCTAAACACAAATTTGCCATGTTGTACATTTGCATAAGACAGACCACACACGCGGGTATTTTTTCTTTTTAAAAGACTTCAATACAATTGGCTAGTATAATGTCTTAGTCTACACAACATTTTGATTTTAATTTTTTTTAATTTACCATGTTTAGATAGTTAAATATAAACGTAGAGTAATTTTTTATTTTATAATATCTGTTGGTATACTGTGACTTCAGTTTTTAGATTAACAAAGCTTTTAGAATATCTGTTGTCCACACGAACACCTATAGTTATTAAATTATATTATTATATATTATACCAGATTAACCTTACGACATTATTGATCTTACAATCCCAACATTAACTGCTAAGCCGCTAAAGGCCGATGATCAGATTAAAAAAATTGGCAGGTCACATTATTATACCAAGTCTGGGAGTGCACGATGGGTCATGCTGTATACTCACAATGTCATTATTATTTTGATTTGTGAAGGACATCGCTTAGTTACTCGCGTGTACATATCTTTTATGCATATCGTATATATTATACAATGCACACCTATATACCGCCGTGGTGCGTTTAATTTATACATATTATATATAGGTAAGTGATTTTCAATATAAGAAGTTTACCGGGAATTTAAGAGGGTGTGTGGAATATAACCTTAAAAATATCGAGTACCAATAATGTGTCGGGCGTAGGTACATTAATATATAATAAATATTCAGCAACAGTTAACGTTCACGGTTCGTATTTTATCAGACTATCTGCTCAGTATATTATAATATACAATAACTGCAGATATTATAGGTTACCTATACATGTACATTGCAATGTCGGTAATTTTTTTCTATTTTATCACTCGTACATACGTATGGTATCTACGTATTATATTGTATTGAAAAAAATATTATTTTTAACATTCATCCGTTAAAATCTATAGATACGTATATAATATTCTATCGCTATCATATATTTGTATCGATTAAAAATTATTTTTATTTTGCGCGTTTGCCATCCGGTCATCATTTGGCGTGCACGTTCTGACGCAAAATTGCATGTCGTGCGCATTTATCGTCGTCATTTAGTGTTGTGTTCGACAGTCGTTGTGTGTTTCTCATTGACCACTGCACAGTCGAAAAAATACTTCCAATCTATTATATCATATATTGTCCTTACACCTGCTCTGTTGTCGTGCAGTCATCTTCTTATTATCTTTTCACACGGCCTTTCAAAAGACCCGGCAGGGACATTTTATTTCAATTTCGTCCCGCTCTGCAATGAAATGAAAAAAAAATAAACATGCCGTTGATATTATATAGGTTTAAAGTAAACCGCAGTTAGTCTCTTATGTTTCATTACCTAGGTATTATGTATTATATCTTTTCCAGTTAGAGGGACTTTATTACGATTTAAAGGGTGTCTTGAATAACTGACGTTTCAATAAGCTACATACACTAATAATGAATTATTCCCATTGTGACCCATATAAATAATAATGAACTTTTTTTTACGCAATATGCAAATAAATATTTGTGGCTTGGTGTAGCACGATGTCTGGCTTCAGTTACTAATGTGCTCTGACTGCCAGCACCGACCGGTGCCACTTGTTCCCGGATGGGTGGCCACCCAGGTTGTTGGTGGCAAATTCTTGTCACATATACACTTGTTGCAAACCAATCGTACCCTGCCCCATAATTAAAAAACTCACAACAAATATTTGTGTTCCATATAAATTGACCGGAGCAGCCACACGATCACTTAATGAGAGGTCCAGTTAACTCTGCAGTGTTCTACGTAATTTATACAATATGAATAATATAATGAGTGATCGGTCATATGAGCTTTCCCGGAAGCTATTGCCGTAATATTATTATGGAGTCTCGTCCTGAGACTGGTTTCGTGAGTAACCTGGGAGCTTATACATTTAAGACTTTTCATTTCAATTTTATTGTAATATTTGTTATGTAATCACCGTGATTTTTATTTTTTTATAACACATTTCTGCAATATCGAGTAAAAAAGTGTAATATTTTTCCGTAAATTTTAAATGAAATTAAAATTTTGATATGAAATCAATCTGATATAATATAATAATATAGAACAGTTGATGGTCGGCTCACTACAGTTATATATATTATACTTATAGCAAGCCCGGATATGACGTACGAGCTTTCAGTTGGTCGATACTATATAATATAGACATTCCCCGACCATCCTCTGCAGAGCTTTGTGTAGTGGTGGCCCCGCAGTTCCAAAGACTGTCGGCGTTGGAGGGTCGCGGTTCGGTGACGGGGCGGTGCGTTATATGTACTATTGTTGTATATTATATACGACTCGATAACATTTAGACTATATTTCGCTGCCTCAACGGAGCGGAAACTACCGTTTATACACCGCGGACTTGTGCCATATAAATATAGGTATATATTCTATACAGCCTTCGTGCGACATAAAGAAATACGAAACTATACATCCGTATAATAATAATAATACGAAATCCTCTCCTTCTTGTTTCTATCAATTTTAAACCGCGGTGAGGGATGGAGGTGGCTGGTGTATTTTCCATATAGCGCGCTTTATCATGTAGGTGAAGCAATGCTTGACCTAATGCCGAAAGGGCGTTTCCTTACCATGCATTGAAAATTTACAGATGAGAAACAAAATTTTTAAAAAAACCGGGAAAGTCAACGTGTACT